TTATATACTAAACTCGTTACATACAAGACTATCGGTGACAATGCAAGCAAGTGTTTCACCTTTAAACCAGTAAAATCACTTTGTCTCTTTCCAGGGTATACTGCCTAGAGGCAAAATGCCAAACCCTCTGCGGGAGCGAAACGCCAAGGTGAACAAGCTGGTCCAGGAGGCCACATCCTCCCTCCCACATGCCTCTTTCCTAAATGTGGACCCAGGATTGTCCACTCCGACGGTAGCATCTCCCATCAGGATATGTACGATTACCTTCACCTGACCCCTGCAGGCTACCAGGCTGTGTGCAAACCCCTGCACACCCTTCTCACGTCCATGCTAGAAAAGCCTGCAGAGAACTGAGCCAGAAGGTTACAAACTTACACTACAGCAGTGGTCCTCATCCCTGGTCCCAAAGAGCATCACACTCAGCTTTGTATGCCTTGAATGATGGATAGAATCAATTATTAAGGTCTTAGAGCTGCACATATTATCTTCCTCATGGCCAGGGCTGGTGACCACTGTTACAGTTAATGGGACCATAAAGTCTTTTGTGTTAATGAAACAGTCAAAGTTTAATTTTTCTGTGCTATTCAGAGACAAAGTCTTACCCATATTCCCAGTAGGCATCTGTTTCACTTGATTTTTGTTCTTGAAGTGTTTTTTCCATAGAGGGATTATTTAATTTCTCTGCCCCAAATTACACATAATGAAAATGATGAGAAGAAGCTCTTGTTGTATATGCACTTCAGATGCCCTGTAATTATGAATAAAGCTTGTGAAAAGATGCAGCAACGTTTTCCTCAAGTACAGATATGCAAAATATGATTTGCTGCAGCTGATTGAAAAGCTTTATTTATAACAATTTTCTCCAAATCTCATCAGCTATAGCTCTCAAAGCCTTATTTATCCTGGAATATGACATAATGCACTGTCCTCCTGGGGCCTCTGGAACGGGAAGTATTTGGATAATGGTGTGAGACTTTGTCTTTATTTGCCTTTATTTGCCAGCGAAAAAATATAAGATGCAAAAACTGCCCTTGCCAGAAAGATGCTGTAATTTTTCACATTGATTTCTCGTTTTCACTGTTACATTTATTTGGTAAAAGCTTTGTTTACTTTTTGTGGTGTCTGATGACTGTTATAGATGTTGATTTGAAAGACCAAATGTTTTTGATTGACCGTTCCTGTCTTATTTTATCATGTCACATGCTGTCCTATATAATTTTCCTTATTGCTTCATCTATTGTAGCAGCAGAATCTGAAGTGACAGGCTGTTTTGTTACAAACATAGATGTATTTTAGTAGGATTGTGAAGTTGTGTTGATATTTCTAAGATTGCTTCTGCTTCAAGTCTGATCTCCTCTGCAACATAATGGCCCATCAGAGCATGGAAAAAGGCTTTACTTCACACTAAAATGCTTCTTGGGTAAGGTTTGTGCTACAGAATGTGACTCATGCTTCAGAATGGCTGATTGTATAAGTGGTGGAAGAATGCATTAAACATGAAAACAAGATGGTTCAGTGCCTGTGATTGATTGCCTGATCAGATGTGTGTGGTGATACTAATTAGGAGACATTGATTTTCACAGATTCAGCGACTTACAAACGCCTTATCCGTCCTGGTAGAAAGTATCCATACAAAGAATTTGTAAACAAGATATTCATTGCCTTTTCTTGACAGGTTTTCTAGAAGTCTCAGACATGGCTGTGGGCATTTTTGAAACTTGAGGAGAGGGAACAAGTCCCACCTTGCACTTGCTTCCAGCCTTGTCAACATCAACAGGAGACTTTTGTTATACAGTTGTGATACAATACAATACCTCATAGTTTTCTGCCAAGGGTTCATATTATGGGTTATAAGGATTGTTGTATGTGACAGTAAGTAATTGTATTGCAGTAGTGTTGACAGGGCTAAAAATGCCCAGCAATGTTTAGGATTTTAAGCCTAAAAAGTACCAAATTCTGCAGCCAGGAAAGTGTTAATAATTCTTTATATACACCAGGCTCAAGCATGAGCAAATATATCACTTTGATGATCAGTTTCCCACAAACAGATGGTTAAAAAAGATAACTCTTAAGATAACAACACGTGAAAGGAAAGTTCACTTGAGGCATGAAACCTTGCACATTCCCAAGTGGCGCTTTTCTGCAGAGCAGTATCGTGCGGGTCCCTCACTCTGCCATGACACAATCAAACAAAACAATCTCTTTCTTTGTAGCCAAGCATCACATTTCCTATTATTCACATCCATCCACTGTTAATTAAGGTACTGGTTGGCCAAGACATGCTTCATATAAACTTACAGTTGATGAATGCGCACGGCTATGATTTCAGAAATCAACACCGTCCTTTATAAGGCGCCACCAACAACAAGCTGTTCATTCCTTTAGAGGGACTGAAGTTAGTGTACATACAGGATTACTTTTCCTGAATTTACCATATTTTACTGGAACATGGGATCAAAGATGTTTTTGCTTCTGTTTCTTGGACTGTTTATACTAACTGATCACAGCCAAGGTATTGTAAACTTTATGGGTATCATCAAATGTAATGAGTTTTAAAAAATAATAATAATATTCATATCCTGCAGTTTAATTCTGTGATTTTTGTATACTGTTTTCCATTTTTCTAAGGTGTTCCTGAGACACCTGAACAAACCCTGGATGTTGGCACAGTCACTGGTGAGACTAATGTTTAAAATAAAATCCACAAGAGGTACTTGAATCACTTGAACTTTTATTATTTTATTGTGTTTTCTCAAAAATGATGTAAACTGTGTTGTAGCTTCTGTTGTTGGAGAGCCACAGGCAGTTGCAAATTCATTCAACACCCCAAGGCCGTGTAACTGTAAAGGTAAAAACAACGTTATCTGAGTATAAAGAAAATAAAATACACATCTATTTTCGGCCCATCTGATTTTTTTTTTTTTACGTGAGCTTAGCTTTAGTATAAGAGTAATCCATGACCCTAACCTCTTCTACGTTCTATGTTCTTGTTTATTTGGCTCACCTTTAAACAGGACAAGACATGATGAATACACCCTGCCTTTGTCAGCAGCCTTCCAGACGCAAACGCAAGCGTGGAGGACGAAGTATGATACAGTTTTTTACATTTTTATTTTAAATAACGTAAAAATAAACTAATGATCATCAATTTAATCAGCCTTCTATTAAGTATATGTAAGATTTAAAAATGTTTTGTTTTTTTTAAGATTTATTAACATTCCAATACCCTAATGAATCTGTTTTTTCTTTTTTCTCTACCTGTCTGGATTATTGAAACCTCAAGTGAAAAAGCTGTGCCAGAGGAAAAAGAGGAACCTGAAGAAGTGCAGGGGTTTTTTCCAACCTCAGAAAGGCAGTAATACCAGCAAGTTTCGTCCCAGTGTTCCAATATGAACAACACTAAGAGCAAACCTTTATAAATACAAAAATACTTACTGTTTATGTATGTGGATGATGCTATGATCATTGACCTATACTATACAACTCCTATATTTGTTTGTATCCAAGCTATCATATTACCAAGGACTTCTGCAAAATGCTTTTAAAGGTCACATATTATCCTCCTTTTCAACAAGTTTAAGTAATAAAAAAGTAATAATTTGGGAAATATCTTGTTATAAATCTACTTTGATCCTGTTTTTTAGTATGCCTATAGACCCCTCTATTTCAGCCCTCCTCAGAACAGGCTGCTTCTGTAGCTTTAAATGCGAGTGGGGCTGTGTCTGACCACGCCCCTCTCGAAGAAACACCTAGCTGTGGGAGTGTCCCCCAGCAGGGGGAGGGGTTAAATGCCCTTCACAAAGGGAAAATCTCCAAAGAGCCTGTTTCTCACACATCTTCTGAAAAAATCAGAGCAGGCCAAAGATGGGAAGGGATGGACTTTTCTCATAATAGGGGGGGTTGTTAACAGACTAGGGACACATGTTATGGTTAGAAAAGCATGGGAAAGTGTATTTGCAAATATACCTTTAAAACTGGTAAAAAAAAAAAAATGTTTTGTTGTATTTGCATTAATATCTTTGGAGATGTTCATTGCAGAATAACTTTCTGTTACTTTTTAATTAAAATACTTAAGTCAATTAAGTACATGCAAAATTGATTGTGTTCATTTTTATTGATTAAAAAAATAGAAAGGCCTACTCTAAATCATTGCATAATGCGATTAAAATTCACTTAGAATTTACATGTTATTGCACTAAACAAAAAAGCTGCAGCTGATCAGAGTGAGGAAGTACAAAAACAAAAAATACAGAGGCATCTTAGATAAAACATTTGAAGAGTTTCCTCTTCTTGCACTATAAAGAAACTTAAAATACTTTATTAAACTGGCTTGAAGGCTAATCAAAATCCACCACAATTAAAATGTTCTTTCTTGCATGACAGCACTTAACATAAAACAAACTAAAGGCAATGCAGTAAATGAATAACATTTGTCATTTTTCACCATCAGAATGATTGTATTGTTTGTTAATGAAAATTATTTGAATAAGTGAAATATCAAACAGAGATTTCTTACTGGAATCAAAGCTGGACACAAATCAGATTCTTATGGCAGCAGAATATTGTACACACAGTCACATCCCATTCATTTTGGTTGTTGACAAAGCCAGGAGCAAGGGGCCTTTCGGTCTGTTTCTCAGAGTGAAGACTCAGTTGAAGAGCACATTTACAGACAAAGCAAGAAGACCCATCATCAGAGCAGCTTTGGACTGGGTGTGGAGGCCAACGGCATGAGCTAAGAAGGAGGACATTACAGAATAATGACACATAAAGAAAAACACGATGAGGGATGAAAGTTACATGCTCTACAGAATGTGCTTGCACTTATTCAGGTGATGATTTAACGGTTGCAATCATAGACAAAAGTGAATAAACTGGATTTAAAAAAATATATATTCTCTATAAAAATATAAAAAAGTTAATCAGCAATAATTAATTTAAAAGGCTGGATCAGTTTCATTCATACATTAACTTTGAGCTGAAGTGATTTCACAAAGATAGGCAGTTGCAAATTCATTCAACACCCCAAGGCCGTGTAACTGTAAAGGTAAAAACAACATTATCTGATTATAAAGAAAATAAAATACACATCTATTTTCGGCCCATCTGATTTTTTTTTTTTTACGTGAGCTTAGCTTTAGTATAAGAGTAATCCATGACCCTAACCTCTTCTACGTTCTATGTTCTTGTTTATTTGGCTCACCTTTAAACAGGACAAGACATGATGAATACACCCTGCCTTTGTCAGCAGCCTTCCAGACGCAAACGCAAGCGTGGAGGACGAAGTATGATACAGTTTTTTACATTTTTATTTTAAATAACGTAAAAATAAACTAATGATCATCAATTTAATCAGCCTTCTATTAAGTATATGTAAGATTTAAAAATGTTTTTTTTTTTTAAGATTTATTAATATTCCAATACCCTAATGAATCTGTTTTTTCTTCTTTCTCTACCTGTCTGGATTATTGAAACCTCAAGTGAAAAAGCTGTGCCAGAGGAAAAAGAGGAACCTGAAGAAGTGCAGGGGTTTTTTCCAACCTCAGAAAGGCAGTAATACCAGCAAGTTTCGTCCCAGTGTTCCAATATGAACAACACTAAGAGCAAACCTTTATAAATACAAAAATACTTACTGTTTATGTATGTGGATGATGCTATGATCATTGACCTATACTATACAACTCCTATATTTGTTTGTATCCAAGCTATCATTTACCAAGGACTTCTGCAAAATGCTTTTAAAGGTCACATATTATCCTCCTTTTCAACAAGTTTAAATAATAAAAAAGTAATAATTTGGGAAATTTCTTGTTATAAATCTACTTTGATCCTGTTTTTTAGTATGCCTATAGACCCCTCTATTTCAGCCCTCCTCAGAACAGGCTGCTTCTGTAGCTTTAAATGCGAGTGGGGCTGTGTCTGACCACGCCCCTCTCGAAGAAACACCTAGCTGTGGGAGTGTCCCCCAGCAGGGGGAGGGGTTAAATGCCCTTCACAAAGGGAAAATCTCCAAAGGGCCTGTTTCTCACACATCTTCTGAAAAAATCAGAGCAGGCCAAAGATGGGAAGGGATGGACTTTTCTCATAATAGGGGGGGTTGTTAACAGACTAGGGACACATGTTATGGTTAGAAAAGCATGGGAAAGTGTATTTGCAAATATACCTTTAAAACTGGTAAAAAAAAAAAAATGTTTTGTTGTATTTGCATTAATATCTTTGGAGATGTTCATTACAGAATAACTTTCTGTTACTTTTTAATTAAAATACTTAAGTCAATTAAGTACATGCAAAATTGATTGTGTTCATTTTTATTGATTAAAAAAATAGAAAGGCCTACTCTAAATCATTGCATAATGCGATTAAAATTCACTTAGAATTTACATGTTATTGCACTAAACAAAAAAGCTGCAGCTGATCAGAGTGAGGAAGTACAAAAACAAAAAATACAGAGGCATCTTAGATAAAACATTTGAAGAGTTTCCTCTTCTTGCATTATAAAGAAACTTAAAATACTTTATTAAACTGGCTTGAAGGCTAATCAAAATCCACCACAATTAAAATGTTCTTTCTTGCATGACAGCACTTAACATAAAACAAACTAAAGGCAATGCAGTAAATGAATAACATTTGTCATTTTTCACCATCAGAATGATTGTATTGTTTGTTAATGAAAATTATTTGAATAAGTGAAATATCAAACAGAGATTTCTTACTGGAATCAAAGCTGGACACAAATCAGATTCTTATGGCAGCAGAATATTGTACACACAGTCACATCCCATTCATTTTGGTTGTTGACAAAGCCAGGAGCAAGGGGCCTTTCGGTCTGTTTCTCAGAGTGAAGACTCAGTTGAAGAGCACATTTACAGACAAAGCAAGAAGACCCATCATCAGAGCAGCTTTGGACTGGGTGTGGAGGCCAACGGCATGAGCTAAGAAGGGGACATTACAGAATAATGACACATAAAGAAAAACACGATGAGGGATGAAAGTTACATGCTCTACAGAATGTGCTTGCACTTATTCAGGTGATGATTTAACGGTTGCAATCATAGACAAAAGTGAATAAACTGGATTTAAAAAAAATATATATTCTCTATAAAAATATAAAAAAGTTAATCAGCAATAATTAATTTAAAAGGCTGGATCAGTTTCATTCATACATTAACTTTGAGCTGAAAAGTGATTTCACAAAGCTTTAGTCTAAGTTTTTTAGACTTCATTAGATAACTCATTTTATGGAGAAACTTTGGTGAGCTGGTCAAAAAAAGAAGTACAAGCAGAGAGAAAGGGTTCGCTCACCAGTAAATTCTTTGGTCCCGTACATGGTGATATTGGTCACAGGGTTTCTTGCCTTACATATGTATGTCCCATCACTATCATTGGTCACAGGGAAACTGAGAACAGAGCCGGCCATTAGAGGAGAAGATAAGTCGTTATAGAACCAGTTAAACTCACTATCTGGACGAGAATCAGCAAAGCATTTCATGATCGCAGTCAGGCCGATTTGTATTGAATTTACACCAAGGATTTTCACCGTCAGAGGGCCATCTGAAAAACACACAGAGACAGATAGAGTTATTTACAGTGAGACGTCGAGTATTCTGTCACTTTGGCACAAAATTATCACTCTCACAGGTTGAAAACTACGTCTGATCTTTGCAGCATATTGTGAGCTTTCAGGAACTCATTTGGTTCTGGTTAAGCAAAACAATTGTAGCCTGTAATTTAAAATTTGTTAAACCTTTTGATATGTTAGCTAATATAATTATTCTAAAGTAAATAATTAGTAAAGATAGTAGCATATATGTGTATATATATATATATATATATATATATATATATATATATATATATATATATATATATATATATATATATATAAAACTTTTTTTAAACTATCTATGTAAATGGCACTTACTGTAGAGAGTGCTGACAAATATCAGTGTATTTTCATATTTTTTATATTTGTATTACTGCCCTTGTTAATCTTTCTTTTTTATGTTACCTGCCATTGGGACTACAGATGTAATATAGCAATCTCACTAACTTCAGCATATTTACATCTTTTATTTTACACTGATGTTCATAAACATTTTCTGTCACTTCAAAATAAAAAATAACTAAATACAAATCAATAAATGAATGAATTAATGGATGTTTGACCATTGACACAATGTTTTAATCTGGTCAAAAATATATGCAGGTAAAGATAAACTTCAAGGTTTCCAGGCCATGTTGAAAGTTTTTGCCAATTTCCATTAAAACTGGAGCCAGCCTTTTTTAAAACCTGTAATCCTGCATACATACAAATGGCACTGAAAACATAAATCTTGTTGGAGTATATGAGCCAAATCATGCACTGTATATAGAATGACAGCGTAAAACTTCACCTAATTTATTTTTTAATTAGTTATTTGACGCTATAAAAAGGTTAAAATGCCATGATTGACAGCTCTGTTAACTAATGTGACTCCTGATGTGCAGAGTAGAGGAGAAACGGAGAGAGGATAAGTAATAAGCACTAACACAAGAGTCATTGAACTTCCATCTACCTGAAATGGATACAAGAATAAACCCAAAGTCGATGCCTGTAACGAGGGCATTTTGCCTTCATCTTTCTACAACAGGTTGAGATTAAGGTATACTGTCCTTATGTATATGCCCTTAAGTATATGAGCTGAATTGGTAAAAAACAAAAACACTGTATTTTTTCTCTACAATACTCACAGTTCACCAGGAGCGTGTATGGATCGCTGAGATGTGATTTAGCCTTATTTGTAGCGACACACATATACATCCCGTCATGGTTCCTTGTCACCGGAGTGAAGTGAAGCATGTTGTCTTCAGGGTAATAAGACTTTGCTTTAGCTGTGGAGGTGTTCATGGTGAGGTGCATGTTGTCTTTCATCCAGTAGATGCTATCATAAGGCCCGCTTACTTCACAGGTGAGAGTGAAGTTTTTAGAGATTATTGGAACTGTGTTCTTTGTGATCTTCACTGACTCTATAGCCTCTGTGGACACAAAACACAGAAGAAATCAGTCAAACAAACACATGCTCTTGTTCAAAGAGTCAAATCAATACTCAGGTTTTCTTACCAATGACTGTGAGCCTCTGGGAGCTTGTGCTGTTCTTTCCAGTGATGTTATTGTAAGCCATACAGGTGTATTCTCCACTCATATCAAGAGTCAAAGGGCTAGTTTTATACACTGAAGTATTGGCCACCTCAGAGCCATTGTACCACCAGCTATAGTGACTGGGAGGCACCGACTTCGCATAACAATCAAAGTTTACTTCCTGTCCAATCTCAGCGTAAGATGGCCCTTTAATGACCGGTGTTTTTGGCCCAACTGCAAAGGACATACTGGTCTTAAATGATGCATTTTTTTTTGTAAAATATCTTATAATATCTATATCTTGGATGTTGAAAACAAAAAACAAAACAAACAAACACATGCTCTCGTTTAAAGAGTCAGATCAATAATCAGGTTTTCTTACCAATGACTGTGAGCCTCTGGGAGCTTGTGCTGTTCTTTCCAGTGATGTTATTGTAAGCCATACAGGTGTATTCTCCACTCATATCAAGAGTCAAAGGGCTAGTTTTGTACACTGAAGTATTGGCCACCTCAGAGCCATTGTACCACCAGCTATAGTGACTGGGAGGCACCGACTTCGCATAACAATCAAAGTTTACTTCCTGTCCAATCTCAGCGTAAGATGGCCCTTTAATGACCGGTGTTTTTGGCCCAACTGCAAAGGACATACTGGTCTTAAATGATGCATTTTTTTTGAAAATATCTTATAATATCTATATCTTGGATGTTGAAAACAAAAAACAAAACAAACAAACACATGCTCTTGTTCAAAGAGTCAAATCAATACTCAGGTTTTCTTACCAATGACTGTGAGCCTCTGGGAGCTTGTGCTGTTCTTTCCAGTGATGTTATTGTAAGCCATACAGGTGTATTCTCCACTCATGTCAAGAGTCAAAGGGCTAGTTTTATACACTGAAGTATTGGCCACCTCAGAGCCATTGTACCACCAGCTATAGTGACTGGGAGGCACCGACTTCGCATAACAATCAAAGTTTACTTCCTGTCCAATCTCAGCGTAAGATGGCCCTTTAATGACCGGTGTTTTTGGCTCAACTGCAAAGGACATACTGGTCTTAAATGATGCATTTTTTTTGTAAAATATCTTATAATATCTATATCTTGGATGTTGAAAACAAAAAACAAAACAAACAAACACATGCTCTCGTTTAAAGAGTCAGATCAATAATCAGGTTTTCTTACCAATGACTGTGAGCCTCTGGGAGCTTGTGCTGTTCTTTCCAGTGATGTTATTGTAAGCCATACAGGTGTATTCTCCACTCATATCAAGAGTCAAAGGGCTAGTTTTGTACACTGAAGTATTGGCCACCTCAGAGCCATTGTACCACCAGCTATAGTGACTGGGAGGCACCGACTTCGCATAACAATCAAAGTTTACTTCCTGTCCAATCTCAGCGTAAGATGGCCCTTTAACGACCGGTGTTAATGGCCCAACTGCAAAGGACATACTGGTCTTAAATGATGCATTTTTTTTGTAAAATATCTTATAATATCTATATCTTGGATGTTGAAAACAAAAAACAAAACAAACAAACACATGCTCTCGTTTAAAGAGTCAGATCAATAATCAGGTTTTCTTACCAATGACTGTGAGCCTCTGGGAGCTTGTGCTGTTCTTTCCAGTGATGTTATTGTAAGCCATACAGTGTATTCTCCACTCATGTCAAGAGTCAAAGGGCTAGTTTTGTACACTGAAGTATTGCCACCTCAGAGCCATTGTACCACCAGCTATAGTGACTGGGAGGCACCGACTTCGCATAACAATCAAAGTTTACTTCCTGTCCAATCTCAGCGTAAGATGGCCCTTTAACGACCGGTGTTAATGGCCCAACTGCAAAGGACATACTGGTCTTAAATGATGCATTTTTTTTGTAAAATATCTTATAATATCTATATCTTGGATGTTGAAAACAAAAAACAAAACAACACTAATCCAATAAAAGTCACTTACAGTTCACATAGAGCATATAAGGAGGGCTGGTCATGTTCCTGACAGGATTAAAAGCCACACACTGGTATTTTCCAGTATCATGATATTGTATGGGGTCAAGGGTGACCGTCTTATTATCCATACTGAAAGTCGTTCTGTTGTCGTCATGCAGTGGCTGACCATTTTTCATCCAGTAAACATGCTGAGCAGGTCCGCTCACATTGCATGTTAACATATAAACATGACCTTCAATGGCAGAATGCATCGGAGTTTGCACTTTAACGTCCGTGATTGAATCTGAAAAACAAAGCAAAGAATCAGTTTGAGTTCTCATTGGAGCATCTTTTTTCCTTTTCAAAGTAAAAATAGCCATCCAAGTCTCACCAACAACTTTTATCATTGTGTGCGCTGTGCTGTTTTTGCCGGTGATGCCGTTGAAGGCCATGCAGGTGTACATCCCCACCATGTCACTGGTAAGAGGTGGTGTGACATACTCTGAGGTGTTGGCCACTTTGGTGCTATTGAAAAACCATATGTAGGAGCTGGAAGGGTTTGAAGATGCATAGCAACTTAGTGTGACATTGTCTCCTGGGATTGCTGCTTTAGGTCCCGTGATAGTTGGCATCTTTGGTCCATCTAAACACATTGATATTTCCTTGAAACAACTTTATTGAAAGCATGCTCACAAGACTGTCAAGATATTTGTAGATTGCAGAGATTTGGTCTTTAGTGTTCTTGGATGGAGTGAAATCAAAATCTGATGTTTAGTTTATGTCAGTTGTCGTTTTTGTGATAACTAACAGATGTGGCTAGATTGGTTGTTCAATTTCTACTTTATACTTCAGAATTTTGACTCAGGGTACCCAGAAATTTGTAGGGGGAAGGGGGTATGAAGTATTTGTGCAACACACAAATGTCCAAAAAGATGTACTTACATTTCTATGTCAATTTATCATATCTAACAAAAATGTAAGTATCACTTAATTCTTTAAAGGTCCCATATTCTGCTTTTTCTGGTTTTATATGCCCTTTAGTGTGTTTTCCAAGTGTCCTGTGCATGTTTAGGCACATCTATGTGCAAAAATTCAAAGGCCGCGGAAACGCAGCTTCTCGATCAGAAAGAGTTATGCAATTGTTTAATTTGTTTTTGTCTTTTTCTTTTATTATCATTTAATTCTTTTATCATTTAATACACATAGATCATAAAGTCATAACCTTTTTCTGCTTTCAACATTTCCTGTTAAACTTACACACACTTGTAGTGCCTACGCACCTGTGAGGTCAAAATAAGTGTGCCATACATTGAAGCAAAACCACATAGGAGCTCGTAGACGTATAGCGTTTCTGTGTATCTGCTCGGTTCACGGTCTTCGAGCTGAAACCACATATGAACTTGGTATGACCTGTGGATGCATCACGTTTCTGCGAATGTGCATTGTTGAGGTGTTACAAGATCTTGAAAGAAGAGAGACTTTTGGCTATAAAAACCCTGTAGAAAATCTGATCGAGGTTCTTTTTTGCTTTGCTAAACGAATCCACGTCACTCTGACTTTTGAAATCCCATTTAAGGGCTTAGTCTTTGAGACCAAGATCTTTTAAAACCTCAAGTGTCTACACTCACAGGTTTAGACTTTGGTCTTTGTGTTTTGCTTTTCTTTTCCATTTTTATATTTTTTACTTTTACTGTTTTGTATTTGCATTTGGAATATCATTTGAAATTTTTAAATACATTTTCGGAAACTTTTTGAAATTATTTTCTGACTGAAATCATTTACACCACAAAGACTGGAAGTCCCCCTTAAGGACCCCGTGTACCTCGGAAGGTAAGTTTTGAGCAGTCACACCACGGCACACTTGTACAACTGATTTAAATTACACACTTCATACACACCTAACATCCTAGCGGGGGGAGTTCACAGTTATTCCCCCTCCGGGGGGTAATCTAGAGTCCTATACCAGGGGTTATCCTTGAATCTAATTATTCTAGAAATGAATGTTAGGCAGATAATCCGGGGGCTGTGATTATAACTTGTTCATCCGTCCTCCAAAGGGTGTTAGAGGAGTAATTTTACATTGCTCCTTCCACTAGGAAAGAGTAGACTAGCAGGTTGGCAGGGAGCAAGCTCTCATTTAGTTCAATAATTAGTTAACTAATGTGTGGTGAGCTTCCGTTAGCTATAGTAAAGTTATTCACCCCTTTTTGCATGTCCAGGACATGCTACAGAACGTACAAAAGTAGGTACATAGATTAAATATACAAACCCCAAAAAGGGCATAATATGGGTTCTTTAAAGCCTCAAAAAAGGGTGGTACCTTCAAAAGTCACAGTAAAAATGATCAAGAAATGGAAATTAAAAAAAAAAAAAAAAAAAAAAGCTACTGCTGGCCTGTTGCAACAAAGCCCAATAAAATGGTTTTAACCATAAAGACTGTACATTCAGATGGACAGGGAAACAGCTGCTGCCTCCTTCGTGTTAACAGATGGGACATGGGTCAAACAATAAAGTTAAACTACATGTTAAATAAATGTTGTCAAACCATCTTTTAAAGTCAGAAAATGAAGTGGAAAGGTTAATCTATATCTGCGCCCTGTGTATTAACTATTTATTTACACAATGAATTGATGTTATGAAATGAAATACTTACAGTTTACTTCAACTGTGTAAGAGCTGCTGTTCACCATGCTAACTTCATTAAATGCCTCACACTGATACTCTCCTTTATCTGAAAGTTTGACTGGGTTAAGCATCAGTGTCTTGTTGCCCATGTCAAACATAGTTGAAGTGTCAGCAGAAAGAACTTGACCGTTTCTATACCACTGAATCAGGGTAACAGATCCAGTCACTTCACAGTGCAGAGTGAGCGTCCCATCTTGTATTGCTGGTCCACCTGTGTTATTCAGCAGAACTGCTCCCAGCGGTTCTATAAGAGGAAAATGAAATTGAGAAATTTAAATTCACAGATTCATGCAAGTTGAGTGGATATGACACTTGATTTTGAATGGAATACTTCACATTTCAAATAAATTGTATTGTTTTGTTTAAGGACTGTAAGAAGGGGAGTTTTGGCCTCATACCGTATAGCCGGCACACATTCTTGAGTGCAAATGATTTGGTAACCTCGGAGTCCTTTAAACAATTTCCATTGGTTGTTAACCCAGATTCCTCTATTCTACACAGCCAATCAAAGCAACAAAACATACTTGTAGGCTTCAACCACATAAATCATTTTTATTTTCTATTTAATTGTGCACTGTGTGTGCTCTTTTTTGGCCATCCTTGCTCTTTGCTGCTGTAACACTGTAAATGTCTCCATTGTGGGATGAATAGACGTTTATCTTACACAGATATGATTTAGTAGCCAGCACTGATAATTTAACCTTATTAACATAACCTTAATTTTGAAGACTGATGTGATGGCAACTGTGATCTTTGTCTTTTATGAAAATGCCTTGACAGTAACCCTCTGTCAGTCATCGATTAAACCTGCATTATTTTGGATTAATGATTCTAACTGGCCCGACCTTAATCAGGTCGGCTGGAAATCTATCTGAATGTAAGGGAGGCCTTAAGTGTTTGAAGCATACCAAACTAAAGACTGCAAATAAGTCTGGTTTCAGGTATATGGGCAATTGGTACCACTTTTATACCTGCCTATAAAATATAGTGCTACAGCTAATAGCCACAAAGTATATTAGCAAAAGGACTACAAACAAAAGAACAAATTTAACCAGCCAAGCTTACCGAGTTTACAAAATATTTTTACTCGCATCCCTGAAGATCACTATTAAGAACCTCAATTTTCAATAGTCTATCCCATATCAAAACATTTAGTAGTCTGGAAATCTTATTGCGTCAAAAACATTTCAGGAAGCCACGTGGCCATGATAGGAAATTATCTGGAAAATGACCCCCACAAAACCCTAAGTAAACCAATTATTTTGTATGAATTGCATGATTTTCAGAATGCTAAGCTAATATAATTGTATTTTTATTTCGATATCCTTTATTAATCCCTGAGGGAAATTCGGGTTTACACTGTTATTTATAGGGACATGCTTCTCACACACATAGACCCAAATCACACGCATGCACAAACAAGACCTGTGGACATGCATTGGTGGAGAGATGTCAGAGTGGGGCTGCTACTAGCTGCTAAGCAGAGAGTGCACCAGAGCAGTTGGGGGCTCGGTGCCTTGCTCAAGGGCACCTCGACAGTGCTCGGGAAGTGCCCTGGCACCTCTCCACCTACAAGACCAACTTCCACATTTGGTCCGCACCGGGACATGAACCTGAGACCCTCCGGTTCCCAACCCAAGTCCCTGCAGACTGAGCTACTGCCGCCCCAAACCAGTTGCTAGCTACAGGTTCATATTGAATGATAGATATGAGGATGCTTTAGTCTTTTTAATGTAACTATTGTCAAGAGGGCTGAAGACATTTAGCTCCTTTAATGTCAAACTATATCTTTAAATTCTTCAAAGTGTCTCTTATGACATAAACACATAAATATACCATCTACAATAAATTCCACCTTACCCACAATCTTGATCATTGCACTTGCACTGCTGAACCTGGATGTGACTGTGTTGTGAGAAATGCATTTGTAATTTCCTGAGTCGCTCTCTTTAACCATCTTTAGTTGAAGATTTGGGCCAAGATGATTGAGGTACACCCCGTTCAACATCCACTGGATCGTGGCTGAAGGGCTGGACTCGGCTGAGCATGACAGTGTGACGTTAGATCCAGTTCTGTGGTTGTAGCCAGTTGGCATAATCATGATCTTTGTATTACTTGGACCATCTGATGAAGTTAAAAGATGAAAATTGTGTTAGGAATTAATGTTAATTGATTGGTCTTTAAGTATGAATATACTTTTAAGCTGTCTATTGCAGAAACTTACAGCTGACATTCAGAAGAACTGGGAGGCTGACTTCTTGATTTAAAAGATTGGACACATTGCATTTGAACAGCCCCTCATCATCGCGGGTCACTCTGGTTATGGTGAGAGTGGCGTCTTCATCGCTGAACTGTACTCCCCCACCAGCTTTGATAACAGAGTTGCCCTTCATCCAACCATAAGACAGGGGGGAACCATTGGACACAGAGCACATAAGAACTGCTGTGTCATTGAACTCAACAAGGCTGGTGTTATCTGCCTTCAGAGACACACCTGAAACAGGCACTGCAAGGTAGAACATAACAAGCAATTAGTCAAGTGTTTGGTGTTGAAATATGGGATTGTTATGGACAAGCAGTGTCATATATGTACTGAAAATAGTTTGCAAAGATGGAACAATTATTTATGACTCAAGCCAGATAGCCTTGCAAGCAGTGTAGCCTTATGGATGGCCATTTGTTTTGATCCACGTTGGTCCTAAATTTAGGATACGTACGTATATCTACTTATTGTATGAGTATTCACAAACGGTGTACATGTAAACCCGGAGATAAAAACTTGATCACTTTATCCCTTAATATTTCAACTAGTGCCAATAGGTTAACGTAACATCAAATTGAAAATTGTAAAACATTTTGGTTTATTCTTAAATTTTTGAACAATGTTAAACAAAAAGCACAAAGGCTTTTTTGTTTTGCTTACTTTTAAGTGCTAATGCTAGTTAGAATGCTAACACACTTAACTATGAAGGTTAACATATTAAACATGATAGCTGCTTTGCATAGGCAATATATAAAAGAGTACTCTTTTGTCTGTGTCTAGAGAATACAATGTTATGAGTTGGCATAATACAAATAAAGATTGACTGATTGATAAGCATTGCTTTTTGAGCATGTCACCAAATAAAGAATAGAATAATAAAGACATTTGACATGAGCATTTAGTTCAAAGCTCCACAATCCCTAAGATTAACCATATAAAATGCTATGTAAATTATTGATCATGTTTTATCAAAACAAAAACAAAAAAAATATGCACAAAATTAGTAGAAAACATTATAATTATATCAGAGTCAGACGTGTCTTCAATCTGAATTTAAATTGAATTGAAATTTAAGACCAACTGAGTGCTTGGGCAAAACTAGCTGCTATCTAGCTGCCGCAAAGAGTCAAGTTACTGTTTTACATGTAGACTTGCACATTGCTGTAATCTTTTGTCTGCAAACCGCAACTTTGCAAATATGCAAGGGAAGGCACATTTATTTTTTGATGACATCAGGTTTTTTTTAATTCAATTCAGTAGAGTAGTAATTGTATGCATTTTCTATGTGTGTTTAGTGATTTAGCATTATTTACAATGCATTTTTCTAGTGTGGGAAAATCCATACAAGGGAATGGATGAACATTACAAGTAATCAAATTATCCTTACCTTGGACATCAAGTCTTAACTCAACATTAAAGATATTGGGAGCCTGCAATGTGTACTTTCCAGAGTCTTCCAGAGTTAGTGACTTTATAGTCAATGAAGAACTGTTGAGATCAAATTCCACCCTGGAAGTCCAAGTGTTTGAAATGATAAAATTTCCAGGGAATATGAACACAATGAATGCCCCCTCGAACGACCATATGCCTGTAGTGACAGAGGCATTGCTGGAAAGAATGACTGTGCTGCCCACTTGTAAGGGGTTCTTAGAGGCAGATATCATTTGGCTATAAGATGGAGCTAGAAACAGAAAGAATAAACAATATTAAGTCACTCTTCTCTTACGTGTATACTCACTATATGCACACACATATTATGGGAATATTAGTCAAATTAGTTCAAAACAAATGATATTTTATAAACCCTTTTAGCCTGAATTGAGAATTAAGTAAAGTAAAAAATAATTCATCTTACCAGCTGTAAAGGTAATCATGGCAAAGATCAGCACAAACACCATTGGAGACTCCATTTTTCCTGTTCCTTTTTGTTGGATCTTCCCTGTGGGCTAAATGGACTTGACTCTACCTTTTATGAATTCAAATCTTACGATAATTTATTGTCCTTTTGATCAGCAAATATTTGCTCTTCATCAGTCCCGCTTTTCTGTTCTCAGTGCTTACCCCTCGTCTACCATCACCATGCGTCCTCACAGTTCTGGCCACACCTTGTTTTGCCCTGAACTACTCTGGTACGCACCAAGGAGTGTCCATTTACTGTAAACCTCAGTCTTTCTGCAAGTTTCGTCCAACCAGCAGAAGTGATAAGGGCTAGTTTTGAAGTAAACTGTTTCACTCAGAAGTAAGGCTTCTTCCATTTTTTCTCCTGCCACAATGCATGAAGAGTTGTGTTTGATTTGAGGGAAAAGACTGACAACGAAAAGTTCAATCGATTGAAAATTTCACTTGAAGGAAAATAGCCACATGTTAATTCTGAATCATACTTCTTTAAAATAGTTACAGTATCAATCTCTACTGAACATGTAGACCAATACATGTCTTGCCATCAGGCAATGTCACTGAAAGTTATTGGTGATGAGCCGCATCCTTGGCGACAATTCCAGCAGCCGTCTCTTTTGTTTTCTCTATTTACTGTAACAGAGACCCACACAATGAATATCCTATTCATCAACAAATGATGTAAGAACTTTTTCATACGTGAGGTTGCTCTTAAGTATGTAAACCCTACAGAAACATGCATAACTGAATTTTACAGTATTTACTCAGTTTCCTGTGATAACGAGTCATTTCCAGTTGTTTTCTAATAATCTTGACATATCTTGGATCCCCAGATTTGCAAAACCAACAAAAGTAATAGACTTAATTTACTTTATTAATGTGGGAAATTACAGCAAGGCATGTCGTGGTCTGGCCTATAACAGTGACCAGTCCACTGTTTTGTTATGTCAAGTATAGACCATTACAACATAAAGTTTTGTTAATGTTCCTTGCAGACAATTCAAATAGATATCACAAATGTTATAAAGTAAATGACTAGCCAGCAAACATCTAATGGCACAATGTGGTAAGACTGTTCGGTGACATTTTAGACAACATGAAAATAAACTTGATTGTTGTTTGAATAGAACAATTCCCTAGCCTGTATCTAATTTCTATGTTTTTTTGGTTTGTAGTTGTGAAAAACATTTTCTGTTAACTGGAAGTACCCCTTATCAGCCAGAATTCATTGTTTGATTAGTGAACATATTTCAACAGTACAAGTTCATAGTAAAAATGACCCAACATCAGTGATGTCAAACCTATATGATTATACCAATATTCTCTTTTACTGTAAATATTGAATAAAAAAAATCCCAATCCAATGTATTTTCCTCAGATTAGTCCAATGAGAGAAGAAGCCAACAACATCTGTGAAGGAGAGGCAGATATACCAATTATTAGTCATTGTACATTAAACTATTCATAAAAATAAAAATTATTGCCACAGACTAAATGGAATAATCATAATCAGCTCATTACATAATTTGTGTCATATAGTATTTTCAACAAAGAGCTGATTTATTTACAACTTGATATCATGTTTACACTGAACTCATCTGAATTACTATAGAAGGGCCAACATTTTGATAAAATACATCTTTTTCTTTTCCGAGAACAGACATTTTTCTAAAAATGTAATGTTAAACATTAAGAACAGTCCTGACTAGAGTTTGAGTATATAAATCTATGCTGTATTTTAAATAGATAATCCACAACTTGCCTGAAAATTAGGAATTTAATCGAACCAGTAAAAGCACAGGCAGAAGCCACATGTTGACTCCTGATCCTGGCGATTCTGCGGAGACAAGCCAAAGACGGGATGAAGTTTGGATCACATGGGACAAAATATGGAGACTGGTCTTTGTACTAACTCACTTGATATCAGGATGTTTGTGGTGATTGTGCTGTTCATGTTGCTGTGATTGTTGAAGGCCACACAGGAATAAGGACCACTCTGCTCCTTACTGACACTGAACAGCTCCCACAGTGGGCCTAAAGTGTTCACAAGCTCTCCTCTGAAAGCCCACTGGAGCTGAGCTGGAGGGTTGGACTGTACTGAACAGAGCATGGTCAGATTGGACCCCACCGAAAAGGATGTTGTGTTCTGTCCATTCACTGTGAGAGCCATGTTATCTGGACCATCTATGAACGAGAAACAGGCAGAGGAGGAGAGGCAGCATTTAGAGCTCTGACAGAGGATCTAGACAACAGTAATATAAGAGATCTCAATCAATGCTTACACAGAGCTCACTGTGGCACCACAATTTGTCTCAGGATCGTTTTTCAGACAAATGAGAAAATGGAAAAAATAATCTCCTTTTGGTCTTCAATAGTGTTAATTTTTGTCCATAGGTGAAACATAAATGAGATCGTATCCTTTGCTATGGGCTCCTACTCACATGTGATTGTAAAGTTGACAGAATCACTGGTTTCATTGCTGACAGGATTGAATACATGACACTTAAATGGTCCCTGGTCATAGCGGGTCACATTGGTAATGGTGAGAGTGGAGTTTCCATCAGTGAGCTGGACTCTGTCACCGGCTGTGACCACAGAGCTGCCGTTGATCCAAAGGAAAGAGAGGGAGGATCCAGAGGAGACAGAGCATGTAATGACTGCTGAGCTGTTGAACTCCGTCAGGCTGGTTGCAGTTGCATTTAAAGTCACATTTGAAACGGCCTCTGGGGAAGACAAGTGGATAAGACAAAAATTGAACATAACATACACTTGTTTTTAAGCAATGCAGAGCGATCATCCAGACAGCAAAGGGTGTTAAATTTAAGGTAACAATACAGTCAAATAAACCTATCCTGCCATGTCTAGCAGTCTTTTCAAAACTGAGAAAGTTTTGGTGAAATTGTTAGAAATGGGCAGATTTGATCATGTCGAGGTACAGTAATGATCTACTGAACTATTCTAATAAAATGTGTTTTTATCTTTCTTTTATTTACATATATGAGAGCTTAAAATATGTCAAAAATACACAAATTCAGAAAAATATGGGCAGAAATGTAGAAACTGAAATAATGCTGTTATAAAGGATTACACTTATCTATGCTACCTCCTTTTTTTTACAATAACAAAAAGCTTAGTAAGAATGCTTTCTTTAAAACATATCTATCATAAGCTTCATAGAATTGATGAAGAAGTAACACACTGTCAGGTGTAAAAAAAAAAGGAAAAGGTAAGCTCTAATTGATTTTGTTTTGTATGCAGTCAGAAATGTGTTGACCCAGCAGTAAAATGTCACTGCCAAACTGAAGAATTAAACCAAGTGTAACACAATAAGAGAAGATAGAGGTGAGTGTTGACGTACACAGATGCAGACAGAAGGTGAACAGAGTCATGTGGGGAGAAAAGGGCAGTAAAAAAAGAAAAGCACAAGTAGGACCAAACACAGTCAAGCAGTATCCAAGTTTGTTGGTTTTACGTCCAAATATCACATGGCAGAAAACTGAATTCTTATAACTCCTTTCATTGTTTAGGGAAACTCTCTTTTTCATTTCAGCAAGAACCAGTTCCAGTAAAAAGGGCAGTGTAAACAATTAATCAGCAGATTTTCTCCATTATCTCTCATTGCACTGACTTGGATGTTGTCATTTTCACAGGTCACTTTTTTTTATTGTCTTGTTTTGTAGTTTCTGTCAACACGCCCTGTACTATTACATTTTACTTGTGCCTCCAAAACTGAACTCTATGTCGAATGTCCATTATTACATTTACATACACGTTCTGTACATATTAAAAATGTACATACATCATTCAGGTTTAAATAATTGATAAAAAATCTGATCTTTTACATGACGGCATCAGTCATTACATTAGTTTAAAATCATCTTTATACAAAAATCTTAATCCGAACAAATTTTCAGAGATTAGTTTATGTTCAAAGTAATTATATTATGTCCACTCAAAAATCCACACAGTCCACAACTTATAAAAAGCTTTTTCCCCCAACCAAACATCATTTGTATTAAAAAAAATAATGTAGGAAATGAAGAGTGATTGTGTCACCTCTCAAAGCATTCACCTCCTGAAATGTCCTTAAACAAGAGATTTAATCTCAACTAAATGTTGAAATTAAGGTTCCAATATATGTTGTTATATTTTTGCATTGGTATGTTCCTTTCTATGTACATGTGGATGTGTTTTTCAATAGTTGTTTTTTTTTATTCCAGTGGAAGCAGATGAATGTATGGCAACACTTTGAGTCAAAGAGAAATTTCCCCAAGGCGGACAATAAGTGTATCACATCCCATCTAATCTCATTTTATCTTATAACTCGTACTAAATAAACGGGTTTGGAAATAGAATGTAAATCTGCATCCATTGTATTATTTGGCTGAAATATTAATCAAAGCAATAATATCGAAGATTCAAGAAAAACTGAACTGTCCATATTATAGTTTCTGTTGCTTCTGAACATCATTCTTGGTGTGAGTGGTGTTTGTGCACTACTTGCTGGTGTCTAATACAATATTTAAGAGAGGCTTTTTGGTTTGTAATGGAAAAACTATTGAAAAAAAAAAGTTACTCCAAACCTGGAATATCAGCCATTTAAGTCTTACCCAGTACAGTGATGGAGGTATTGGCCTTTAACTGGGGGTCGGTGCCCTGCACTATGTAGACTCCTGAGTCCGACACCTTGACGGAGCTCAGAGTGAGAGCTCCTGTGAGGACGTTTACTGACGCCCTGCCGCTGTGACTGGGAAACACTGCCTGCTGCTCCCCCAGCCAGGTGAGAATTTGGGACTCTCCAACGGCCCAGCTCCCACTTTTAATAGACGTGGAGGGAGACAGAGACAGGATCACTGTATCCCCGACCACAGCCGGATTGATGGATGGCTCGACTTCCACAGCAGCAGAGGCCAGAACTCCTGGGGGGGAAAACACTATTATTAACTGTAACACACATATTACCTGAATTCACCATACAAATTCATTAGTTATAACAGAGCTCACCATGTAGAAAAGACAGCACTATAAAAGCCACGGTTCCTTCACTTTGCCTCCCCATTCTTAAAGGTAGTCTGAGGATTACCTCGCTTTTTCTCCCCTAATATACTTGTACATTTGTCCAGCCCCCTACCCATACATTCCTTTAGCATTAACTCCACTTCTTATCTGCAGGTGTTCCACGTTACTTTATGTTTATTCTTGTCAAATGTACAATAGGTGTACTACATTTTTGTTGACCATCCTGGGTGAAGTTCTGTAAATTGCCAGTGAGCAAAATGACAAATTATGACAGGAGGTATGTGAGGCAGGATTGGGTGAATTGGATTAAATTGAGGGGTTTGGTTGCTACTGTTAAGCAGTTGTTTGGTTTCGAGGGGCTTAAAATACTGTTTTCTTTGGGAGGTTATGTTGTTTATTGTCTCTGATTAGTAGCCTCTCTACCTCGCCGACCCTTTCTTAATTGTTGGGAAAAAGAAAGATGTTGTTTTTATTGCTACTCCTTAAAGTTTTGGTAAACACATAACACTGAGGGCTGTGTTTCTGTGTGTGTGTAGGCTATATGTGGCTTGGTGAGCCGGTAGGTGTCATGTGTGCGTGTAAGTGTGCATACTGTATGTTTGTTTCAGAATAGGTTTCACATGTTTAACACCAAGAGAACCATGACACTCGAAATAAATACACCTGCACCCGCTCTGTGTCATTCACATTTCCTGAGAAAGACACAGCACATTATGATAGACATAACAAGACCAATCAGTGCACCTCTCACCTGTTTCAGACACTGATGAATGCTTCTCTTCCAGCATTACATATTGAATATGCAAACCATTGACGCTTTCACAATACCACTGTGTTTACACATGTGGCATTATTTGAGCTGTGGGGGTGCAAAGTTCAGTATCGGAGCACACCTGTGTCAAGCACCTGACACACAGGAAGTGAGATTGATGATTACATTGTGTTATCTGTAGAGCTTTATGTTGAGTAGGAGTAGCAGCAGGAGAGGACTGATTTTATAGACTTTAAAAACAGCCTCCACTGATGGATTATTATCGGGCCTCGTTGTTCCAGCCTGTATGTATTCTAAGACACACAAGTGTTTTAATTAGAAATGCACAGAGGGTCACTTAAGCAATAAAATTAACTCATCATAACATTGGCAGGTTTATCACAACTTCTAACAGGTGCAACACACTTGTCCAATGAGTCAGCATTTTCTTAATTTCCATTCATTAAACATTAAGCTGCAGCGATCTTCTTCTTCCCTGCTTTCTGTCACAAAGCATGATAAAGTGACCTGATCAATCACTGATTTTAAACAAGCCAGCTTCTGCGGATTAAAAAATTGAAAACATCTGTTCCAACTTTGTTGTTGATTATTGCTTATTTTGAACAATATTTTTCCAAACAACTTTCTTTTTTTTTCTTCTTTTTTTTTTTTTAGCTAAACCAGGCTTCACTTTATATAGCACATCTCCTACAAAAAAGCATGCAGCCCAATGTGCTTCAAAGAGGAATGACAGATGGGAGACAAAATCAGAAACTGAGAGCAATAGGTACAATTATAAAAGACAAAAAAGATATGAAAGAATAAAATAGTTTAAAAAAAGTAAAAAGAAATAAAATAACTAAAAATGAGTACCGAAAAAAGGAAAAAATAAAATATGTGGGGCTCAATAAAAGAAATGTAAATCAGTGGAAGTTTGAATAAAAAAAATACATAGCAGAGATAATAGTTACACGCGTAAATGTCACAGTTCTTGAAACAAAGGAGCTGGGGGGGGGGGTTAAAAACCCATACCCAATTGGTCACAGTCCACCCGGCAGCAGGTACCGACCTCGAGAACGCGTCTCCCCCCCGTGGGCCGTCGGGAAACTTGAGTGTGTTTTCGCGCACCCTCTGCCGCGTTTGGTTTGCAGGTGTCAGCGCATCGCAGGAATGGCCCGCTCGCCGTTAAACCTGATGTAGAAACAATTTTTACAATGTGGACAAACTCTAAAATTACTCCAAATGTAAAGCCCGATCAAAAAGATAGGTCTTAAGTTAACTCTTAAAAACACCTCCCCCTTTTAATATTCAGCGGCAGTGAGTTCCACAATTGGGGCATAAAAAAGGCTCTCTCACCTGGGCTTGTGTCACATTAGGCACATTTAAAAAGAAGCATTTGAAGACATAAGTAAAGGATCTGACTAGAACACAAAATGATAGGTAAGTGATATATGGATGAGCAAGGCTGTGTAAAACCTTAAAAACAACTACTTTTAAAATCAATTCTGAAAGAAACAGAGCCAGTGCAGCATTTTAAGCAGCAGGGTTATGTGAACAGTTTTCTTTTTCTACCTACCCATATATAAGAGCTCTTGGGTATATGTAACACACAAAAAGTAAAACTTTTTCAGCTTGTAGATACTCATACCTGGCCAAAATCTCTTGCTTAAATTGAAAAAAAAAAATCATTCATAAAAAAAGCTTTATGACACCAGGAGAGGTACGAAAAACACAGCGAAAAAGTGTAATAGTGTATTATAATTAGTCAATTAGTCATGGGAACGGGCTACTTTGGGTATCTTAAGTGTATACATATTTTTTATTAGGAATGATTTGGTTTTATTTATCTGAAAAGTAAATTCAGGGTTCAGCTGTCATAAAATGCAGTGGCAAAAAATATGTAGCATTTATCTAAAATTCAGAATTATGAAGGACTTAACAAACATTTGTACTCCACACGACACTGCATTCACTTAAGAGAAGAGTAACTTCAATATTTATGTACCCAGTTAGACTGCTCCACCGGTGATTATTCACATCACCAAATCAAAACTGGATGAGTGAAATACTCACCACTCCGGATGAATATAGTTTGTATAATGCTTCATGATATTTAAAAAGTGTGGTATCTCATACATTAACAACCTCACACAGGTGCTGAATTTGTGTCACATGAAAAAATTGTGTCTGAAACTTGTGTGCAAATTGTTTGTGTTAGGCTCAAAAACATAAATTATAATTAATCTTACTAACTGAGAATATAACAAAATACTTCCAAGAAAAATATATATTGTAATAAACATATAGACCATTTAATTAAAGCTCCATATCATGAGTCTGACAACATGCCACTCTTTTCTAATCCTTGCTCTCAGCTCTATGAAGCACATGAGGCAGGCTGCTTGATGTCATCGTGTAATCCAACACCATGACCAGATTAACCGCCCTGACCTGCTCTGCTGTACAGAGATGGTTGACACCTGTTCAACAGGGGCCTGACTTTGTCCTGACAGTGTGTTGTTTTAAAGGTATGTGCTTGCATGGCATCGGAATCAGCACAATTAAATGACTGGTGGAAAACCTATTGGCTTTTGGATTGGTCATGAAAGTGGGTTCTGCGTCTTTGGATTTTTTAGAAGACATTAGTGAACAACCCTGATGTAGCCTACTTGTTAATTTGTTACTTTATGACTGTAAACAATGGACTAGTTCAATTTGAGGTAATCCCACATAAGTAAAAGCGTAATTTACTATTTAGGTATTGTACTGCTATCAATGTTTTTTTATGGAAATAAACTGTTTTATTTTTGTGCAGCATTGTTCGTGTTGGAGTAATATGTGACTTCCATTACTAATATGAGGCACACAGTGGAAATGAGCAGACACGTTCTCAATCAGCTGTTGATGATTTTGGACACAAGGTGGCAGCATTGAGCTTGCCAAAAGATTTACTGCACCAAGCGCAGTATGGAAGCTCATTTCCTTACTTTAAACGTGGCTACAGAACAAATGAAATATTATATTTGCTATAGTGGAGTCACATGGGATTGTAATAATTTATTGAGAAGCAACTGGAAACATCTGGTCAGTGCCATGGTTACAAATGAATGCACCAGAAGTATTAGTTACATGGGATTGTGACTGACAGAAAAACAGTTTGAGTATTGCTGCAGTTATTGGATGGTGAAGGTGTTTATGTCAGGTCAAGAAACAGACTGTGGAGGCGTGTTTACCATAGCTGTGGTTGGCATATTGATGGCTATGACAATCTTAAGCCATTGGGAATTGCAATCAGTGGATAAATTAATGGGTTTTCCAGAAAGATGATATGGGTTGAAGCTTACAAAACAAACAATGACCGATGGATGCTGTGATCAATGCAAGTGGTTGCCCTGCCAGACGGTTTTTGCATTTATCTTTTCTGCAGAACTTTATGATTCTGATCTAGTGTTTGTGTCCTGTTTGTGTTTTATATACAATAATGAATGCAATCATTGAATACATTTATAAACATGACTGGACAGTTGTTTCTGCACTACTCCAGCCCTGCAAAGTTTCTTTAGGCCTACAAGTAGCCTATGTAAAGCTCATATATAATGTATGGTCTTATTTTAAATTCACTTGTCCTGTATCATAACGTGTGAGCCTACGGAGAGATGGAGAGACATGCAGCAAAACCAAGAGAGAGCACAATCACATCGCAAGCAAGCAAGTAACTGCACAAAACAAACAAAACAACCACATTTTAAGTATAATAACATACACTGAAACCCATTCATTCAACAAGTCTTAACAGTGGGCCGGGCACCGCTCTCTCTCTATCTCTCTCTGCTCACCTGCAGTAGCTGGTTACGGCCATGGTCAAGCAGCTTTGGGCTGAAATCTTTGTATCTTAGATAATGTCCATTACCCACAAGCTGCTTTCGAGGACTTTGTTCATTTCATGTTGAATCTCTGGGTAGTTGTCATAACTGACTGGCAACTCCAAGAAACAGCCAAATGTATGAGCAACAGGTCTTCTCTGAAATCCCTGAAGTTTTGAGAAGGAGACAGTGATGCCCTTGTCTGTTGAACAAGTCTGATCCAGTGCAAAATCTGAGGACAAAGAAGAGGTGCTGGATGTCTGACTCTTTAAAATATGTGCTTACATACTTAACAATTTGTTTCTCCTTGGCATTCTGGGTACTGGGGTAAGTAATTGATCTCATGATCGTTTGTGATGTGGGCTGTTGCTCTTCATATATTGCTTAAATCCTTTTTAGCTCTGATCTAATAGGTCTGAACATTTTCGACTGAAAATACTAGGCATACTGATTTAATAAATTCAAGAAACAAAAACTAAGGGCATTTTGGCATTATTAATTATTAATATTTAATTTAGTTAGTTTTGTAAACACACAATGCACTTTTAGTTAGTTATCGTTTTTTGGAAAAGGCTTGTTTTTATTTTAGTTTTAGTTAACAAAAATTATTTTGGCATTTTAGTTTTCATTTTTTCGTTTGTTTTTATTTACGATTATACATTGTTATGAACGTCCAGAGCAGAAGAAGGGGCAGAAGCTGAAAGGGTCCCGGCTTCACCTTCTCAACTCATTTTTATTGTTTTTTCTAGGTCCACAACGGGAGAAGGGTAAGCTGAGACCTTGTCAGCTTCCCCTTCTCAACTAAATTCAATCATTTTTTCTAAGTCCACAACGGGAGAAGGGTAGGCTGACAAGGTGTCAGCTTACCCTTCTCCCGTACGACACGGTTTAGGGGGGTTTTGCAAGCGACCTTTCGCACAATTTCAGAAACCCAGTTTTCAAGAACAGAGACCTCCAGGCTAGAGCCGTGGCAGGCTCAGTCAATGTTACCTGCCCAAGGGTAAAGCATTTGGTGGGCCGACCAGAGACCACAGCCCCGCAAGTTCACCCTTGACAGACTTGCCCTTGGCTGCTGGGAGGTGTCTGTGAAAAGGACCCCTGACACTCCACCACGTCCACACAACAGAAGAAAGAACAGAAACTGAATACTGTCAGCTTCCCCTTCTCAAATAAAATCTACTGTCTTTTTCAAGTCCACAACGGGAGAAGGGTAAGCTGAGACCTTGT